CTTCCATACAATCCCCCCATGTGCACTGTATAATCCTATGGGTTTAGTGCTCCCTCATGATTATGACCCTAGTAGGTTTGGAGTTTTTTGATGGTGAGACTGATTAGTAAGGATGTAGCAGTGACGTAGATAAAATGTAGATACTGATAAACGATACTTGGATATAGGTAACCCCATTCTGGGGGGGGGGCTCTTAATCCAAGTAATTGGACCTGCTCAATCTCCTCTCCCTCCCATGACTGGTGAGGGGCTCTTGATCTAGGGAATTTGATCTGCCCGATTCCCTGCATTGAGCCTGAATACCTTCCATCCCCCTCCCCCATGCGCTGTATAATCCTACAGGTTTAGCGCTCCCCCATTATTATCAATCTCCTCCCCTCGGATCAAACTTTCATGCCACCTAGGCACTACAAACCCTACGGGTTTAGCCCTCCCCACTTAATAGCCATATATGGGTAAGGAGTTTTTTATGGATTTGGGAAAAGCATGTGATGGGGAAGTAAGCCACAAAATCTGGAGGGTTAATAATCCAGGATAATCTGAAGCTATCTGGCTTTTCCATAAATGATGATAATGAAAAAGCCCACTGGCTACACGAAAAGTCAACAAAGAATATATTATACTGCATTTATCCCTAGTAATATTGAGACCAAGGTGTAGGCTTTGCACTTGTAACCAACTAAATGTCTAACCAACCTCATCTTAGGTGAAATTTGTCAGGAAACAGGATAAGTGGTTCCTGACACAGGTCTTTAATAAGTCATATGATGACCCACAGATGGAGCTCTTGGTGAACTGACGGAGGCCTTCCACTGGCTTACATCCCCCGCCCCACCTTCCCTTCCCACTTCTCTCCCCAGCACTTGGTATGTCATTATTTTAAAATATTATGTAAACCATTACATGTATATGCAGATATCTTTTTCCCAACACTTGAATATATTCCAGCAGGTTCTGGAGTATATTTCCACACTAGCATTTGTTATTATATTCTTATGGATTGATAGATACTCTTGAGAATTAATATGGTGTGGATATTTTAATGTGCTTAAACTGATTAATTTTATCTAATTTTTAATAAATAGTCCTAGTGTTGACAATTCTTTTGTCACGTCTTTATATGTGCTATTATGAGGGACACACACAGTTATACAAGTGTGACTAACAGCTTCACACATGTAGATTAAAGGAAAAACAGGTTAATTACGTGTGGGTTTTGGCTGATAACTTCAAGGAGAACTGCCTCTGTGGAGGCTGATCCTCTGAATTCCTTGAACTATGAAGGATGGGGTGGAGAGAGAGAACAGGAAGGAGAAAGGATAGGACAGGATGAGTAAGAAAGAATAAGTAAGTTTATTCAGGTATACACAAATAGTTACATAGATTATCATACATAGCAGCATGTGTAAAGTACCTAGGATAACCCAAAAAAAGTCAGACAAATGAAGAGAGGATAGGCATTAATAATAAGAGATGTATGCAGTTTGATGGTATTTTTGGATGAAAGGACCTAAGTCTCTGATAGGCCATAAAAATTATGTTGAGTCTTATTCTAAAGGAAAGGCAAGAGAAAGTAGAAGATAGGAAGCTAGAAAGGGTATAGGAGAGACGAAGAATAGAGAATTATAATGGAGGAGACAGGAGAGATGAAAAAGGCTTGGATAAGGAGAGAAGATAACAGAGTGTATGAGGAAGCTAGGGAAAGATAGAGAATAGGATAACAGAAGAGAAGATACAGAACAAGTGAGATATGGCATGTACTGACTGAAATTTTTGCCTAAGTGACACCATTTAGGGGGCGACACCATAGAGCCTCTAAAGAAGGCGACACTAATGCCCAAAACAGCGCTGCACCATTATTATTATTATTATTATTATAATCAAAAAGAAGCGCTAAGCCACAAGGGATAATCAGCGCAGTGCTGCACCAACATGAGAGAAGAATCCTTCGTTTTTATATAGCCTATTAAGTATTAACAAAGTACAAATAAGCCTATATAGGGAAAATCATTGATTTTGATGATGTGACAGATGATTTTGCATAACTGAAGGCAATGAAATGCAAGATCAGATTCACCGAGATGTAACCTGTACTCAAGGTCAAATCGGAACTAGTGTTTCTCTGATATTGCAATGTTTTTTTCTTTATTTTTAAGGTTTTTTTTTGTTTTGGCATTGATGAAGATGAATAAATGTAGGATGTGTTGGCTGTACTCAAAGTGGTATTTGAGTTTATGTTTCCTCAATATTACTACGATTATTTATTTTATCATTAATAAAGTTGAGAAGTACATGTATTCTCCTGCTCAGTTTATGTCCCTTAAACATTCTCATTGCTAAACATCTGTCACTGGTCATGCAGTAGTGACGTAACTGGTCATGCAGTAGTGACGTAACTGGTCATGCAGTAGTGACGTAACTGGTCATGCAGTAGTGACGTAACTGGTCATGTAGTAGTGACGTAACTGGTCATGTAGTAGTGACGTAACTGGAGTTTACCCCCCCCACCTTGAATTTCATTCGGGTGACACCAACTCTAGCGACGCCTCTGTCTACACACCCTAACCTGAGCCTCACTATACTCATAAAAACTCTTTACAGCATTTAGTAACTTACCACCTATTCCATATACTTGCAACATCTGCCACATTGCTCCCCTATCCAGTCTATCATATGCCTTTTCTAAATCCATAAATGCAATAAAAACTTCCCTACCTTTATCTAAATACTGTTCACATATATGCTTCAACGTAAACACTTGATCTACACATCCCCTAACAAACTCTGAAACCACCTTGCTCATCTGCAATCCTACATTCTGTCTTACCTCTAACTCTTTCAATAATAACCCTACTATACACTTTTCTGGTATACTCAGTAAACTTATTCCTCTATAATTTTTACAATCTCTTTTGTCCCCCTTCCCTTTATATAAAGGGACTATACATGCTCTCTGCCAATTCCTAGGTACCTTCCCCTCTTTCCTACGTTTATTAAACAAAAATACCAACCACTCCAACACTATATCCCCCCCTGCTTTTAACATTTGTGTCATGATCCCGTCAGTTTCAGCTCCTTTACCCCCTTTCATTCTACGTAATGCCTCGCGCACCTCCCCCACACTCACATCCTGCTCTTCTTCACTCCTAAAAGATGGTATACCTCCCTGGCCAGTGAATGAAATTACCGTCTCCCTTTCTTCGTCGACATTTAAAAGTTTCTCAAAATATTCTCGCCATCTACCCAATACCTCCATCTCCCCATCTACTAACTCCCCAACTCTGTTTTTAAGTGGCAAATCCATTTGTTCCCTAGGCTTTCTTAACTTGTTTAACTCACTCCAAATTTTTTTCTTATTTTCAGTAAAATTTTTTAACAGTGCCTCTCTCACTCTATCATCTGCTCTCCTTTTGCAATCTCTCACCAATCTGTAGTAACTATTTCATAACAAATTTTCCTGTTGCTATATCAGAAGCATACAATTTTTCTACCAATAATTAATAAATCCCTAAGGGATTTATAAATTATTAGTGGAGGACCACAAGAAAGTACTAAACCCATAGGGGTTATACAGTGCCTGGGGACTTGGAGGATTCAGATTTGATTCATGAAAGGGGAAGGTAACTCACATTTCTTGGATCAAGATTATAATCAAATAAATCTTGAACCAGTAAAGGCCATACAGTGCTGTGCATGGGCAGTGTGCAAAGTGTAGGGTGTGTGAGGGTTAGGACTTAATGTGGAGAGCAAAACTGAAGTCATAGTTGGTGCAATAGGTAAGTTTTCGTTAAAAATTAGGAGTTAATTTTCGTTAAGATGGGATTTCTAGTGAATCAGACGACTAAGTGCATTAGAGAGAAGTAGATGTAAGAATTTAATTCTGCATGCTTTCTGATAGGAAAGTCAATTAGGATATGGTGGACTGACGGTGTTACCTGGCATGCCTCACAGAGGTGGTAGATGTCTCTCCATATATCTGTGGATGAGTTGCTTGTATATGATTGATAATTGTGTGAATGTAGTTACCTAAACTTGACAGAGGTGGGAAGAATATGGCCAGAAACTCAATTATGGATCAATAGAAAAAAAACTTAGTGGGCTAACTTTTGTAATAACAGTAGTTAAATAGTAGGGAAAGGAATACCACAAATCTTGGATCATCTCACCATCATCAAGGCACCTCCCTGGAAGGGTGAGAGTGATGGTAGTCAGGAAAGGACATCAGAAGAAAGGGTAAAGGGTCAAAGTTGATGTAGCAAACTGGAGCTAGTTAAGTAATCAGTTTCATTAACAAGGCAACGGCAACATCAGCTATGGTGGCACAAATTCTGCTATCTTGATTAATGCAGTATCATATTTACGATATTACAAGCACAATATAATAAAAACAATTTCAAGTATTTGTTGCATTCCAAATGATATTCATAATTTGTCTCTAGTCACAGCAAATACTTTTGAGAGGGAAAATTTCCAAACAAGCTAAAAAATAAAAAATGGGTTGCTGGATCATCCCAGGAGGTATAGGGTTAAAAGTCCAAGTTTTAGAGGCTTGTGGGGCATGTTTGACAGGAATGAATAGAGAGAAGTGGTTTTTAATATACTTGGAGGGTAAGGTAACTTTTATGAAGGGATTCAGGGAAACCAGTTATTTGGACTTGCATCCTGAATGTGGGAAGGACAGTGCCTGCACTCTGAAGGAGGGGTGGAGTTAGAGGGTAATCCAACTGATGTCAGTGAACTTCTGATAAGACAGCAGTTGAATGAATGATGGTGAATGTTTTATCTTCTTTTGGTTATCCTTCCTTGACAGTTAATTATTATTATAATCATATCTAAGTGCTAAACCCACAAGAGTCATACAGTATTGTCTGCCTTGGCAAAAGATAGCCATGGAGGCCAAAAAATAAAAAATGGAGATAACATTCCAGTATTCGTAAAACAAAGATATGCATGTGTAATTTCAGTTCTTAAGCTATCTTGCATGTCAAAAGAAAAATAAATCATATTTTCACAACCTTTATTGTGCATAAATGCAGTGATCTATGTGCTTTATACACCTAACAAGTGCTCACTGGAATAAGCAAAATGTATGTTTGACAAGCATGCCCATGGGCAGGCTAAACACACACTGAACATACAAGTTTCTCCAACGTTATTATAACATTTGTCTATAGCACTCGTATGTTTTTATTTACAGTATACAAATGCAAATTACATATATGCACCCAACAATGAAAGCATTGTATAAAATGGTAATATATACTAACAGTATGATAATGACACAAAGTACAGGTTATGCTGTTTTATTACAAGATGTTTAGACCATCAGGGAATTTATCAGTTCTTGAAATGAAAGTCCCCGGTGGATGAAATGTCTTGTAATAAAATACCTTAACCCACAGAATGTCATTATTATTAATGAAAGCATTGTACAATATATTTCTAAACAAACATGATACATTATTTAGCAAGCATTTCAGACTGTTGAAAGTACATAAATATAAATGAAAATTACTTTCAAATAAAAAATACAGTAGTGTAAAGTACAGTATATACAAAAAAATCACAAACTATATGTAGTATAAAAAAAATTTAATTTTGATTATTTTGTGGTAGATCAAATGTGCTAATTATAATTTATTACACTATATTACAAAATACAGCACAGTGTTATGCAGCACACTTTTTCTTCCATTTTCCTGCAGCACTCTAATGGCTTTAATTTCCGTGGGTTGCTAGGAAATTCCTTCATGAATAATAACCTCAAAATGTGACACTCGCTGTAGTGTTCTAGCTCGATCTCTTGTGAATCTTATCAAGGAATTTAAAGAAAACATTGTGGTTTAAGCCTCGGGAAATTTGTTGAATATGAATTCGGATCATGGAAGAGGTGGAATCTTCATAGGCTCGATAAGTTGCTGGTAGGCCCAATTCCTGAAAATGATACATATCATTTATCCAACAGCTGGTAAAATATTAGCATTTATTAAAACTAAAATTGAAGATTGTTCTTTTAACGAAATATAAAGCAAATACATTAAAACCAAGTAGATAATACAGTACACACAACCCTCTTGATAATGCTGACATACTCCAAGGTCAAATAAAATTTTGTTGGACTTCATTTACATTTAAGAGTTACTAAAAGTATTAGTCAGAGGGCTGAAGAGGGGCTGTTGAGGTGGTTTGGTCATTTAGAGAGAATGGAACAAAGTAGAATGACTTGGAGAGCACATAAACCTGTAGAAGATAGGTGGGGTAGGAGTCCTCCCAAAAAAGGTTGTAGGGAAGGGGTAAAGGAGGTTTTGTGTGTGAGGGGCTTGGACTTCCAGCAAGCATGCATGAGCGTGTTAGATAGGAGTGAATGGAGATGAATGGTTTTTGGGAAAGCAATGAGAAAAATATAAAGCACTAATGAAATGGATAAGTGAACATTTAAATCACTATTACATACCTTTATTGAAGACTCTTGTTGGTGTATGGAAGAAGAGAGGCCCGTTTCATAATGATTGAACACTTGTTGGGGGACGAATCCTTCAGCCTCTACGTACTCCTTGAATTCATCAACAAATTCTTCGGCCGCACGTTTGTCTGAACTTGCAGCCTAACCATGCCTTATAACACTGTATATGCCACTTCGCTTCTTGAATCTTTCAAACCAGCCTCTGCTGGCCTTAAATTCACTAACAGCAGCACACGTTCCAGGTATTTTCTTTACGAGATACACATGCAACTGCCTTGCCTTTTCGCAAATGATCGACTCCACAACACTATCTCCCGCTAACTGTTTTTTGTTGATCCACACCAACAACAACCTCTCCACATTATTTGTGATCTCTGTTTCATTACCATATTTACCCCTTTTGCAACTTTAGCTTCCTTGATTTCTACTTTCTTTGCCAGGATGGAACAGATTGTTGATTTCAACTTCCCATACATCCTGGCAAGCTCAGCTAAATGTACGCCACTTTCGTATTTTTCTACAATCTCTTTCTTGAATTCTATCATGTTTCTCACCTTTACCAAAAGGCTGGCACTAGGAACTTTCTTTGGGCCCATCGTGGCTTATTTCACAGTTGCATTCAATAGTTAAGCACAAAATCAATGGATTATTACAAAATATTTCGGAGGAACATGCGAAGTAATGCTCACTCGACCAGTGACAGAGCCAGACTGAGGCACATACGCATGCATCCTGGATGGGCGGACGCATCCGATGCGTATGATTTCTGGGTGAAGGTATGAAATACGGAGCAAAATTTCACCCAAAAAAGTGTTCTAAATCCGAAATGTACGATATCCAGTGCGTATGAAATCTGGGGTTCCACTGTATTCCAAATTAAGTTATGTAAAAATTTTCCCTAACACAATACAACAGGCCAGTTACTCTGCTATGTAAGTGAATTTTCATATACTTACCATATATAGAGCTTTCACTTTATTCACACTCTCCTGTTCTGGGTTACCATAATGCTCCTCCATGATACGACGCTGTGACGGTGATGCCCGCTGTAAAGCCACTACAGAGAGCCAAGTACATTTTCCTTCACCAATATCTGTTCCTACCTTGCCTGTCACAGATGAATCCCCAAAGCAATCTAAATAATCATCCTGGACCTGAAACAATATACAGATTTACAATATAAAACATCTCTAGCATAATACAATGCTATATTCACTGCCTAAATGGCATTTTAAATCAGGTCTTAAATACCATATCATATCAATCCTTAAATACAGCTCCATCTCACTAAGAGTACTACTGCCTCAAGATTGTCTTTGTATAAGCAGGATACAAATCTATATGTTTTGATAGTAGCTATTCTAAGTTGTATTGTTACTTCAAATCTAAAAATACTTTCTGGATTTTGTAATCCCAGTTCCCTCAATTGACCTATTTTTTTTTTCTATTAAATACTGTAAGTGATTATGAATAAGGTGTTCTATTTTAGGGTGAAGTCATCAAAACTTTGTAGAACTTGAAATGAGTCCATAGATAAAAATTGCGAACCACTGGAGTCGACTTCATCACCATGTGACATTTTTTAGTAAACTGTTATGCCAGGGATGTGAATTACTCACTATCCAAACTCGAGATATGAATGACCTAACAAGTAACTATCATCATTTCCATGCTTTTATCAGTAAGGCTTCCACAAGATTACATTTTCTGGCAAGCAATTAGAATGCAAGTTTTTGTACAGTATCTCAAAATAAAATCTACATTTTAAGAGAGATTCATAAATCAACAATTCAGAAAACAAACCCTCAATTTAATGGACCTATTTGTGACAGACCTTGGTGGCAATGCAGGACAAAATCTGTTAAGTCATTTGAATCAAACAATGGACCAGGTCCATTGGTTACAGAATTGTCCATTAGCAAGACAATTTTATTTCTGTCCACTACAATCACCCACTCCCTCCAATTAGTCCATTAAATCAAGGGTTTACTGCTAACTTAACACAATGACTTTAGAGAAGTTTACAACTAACCTGGAAGAACTGTCCCATCTCCACCAAAATAGTGCGTGCTTGACGGTGTAGTTCTCTGTCAGTAATGCCAGCCTAAGGCAAAGTTGATCAATTATATCTCTGCATTGAACCATTTAATAGTATGCATATTATTTTCATTAGTAATTATGTTAATTTCACAGCTAAACTAATTGGAATAGACAAATAATTACTGAAATATACTTAGTGAAGGAATGAATAATTATGCTCAGAAATAAATCTGGTAATATTCAATATATACCGAAAGGAAAAGGTTAAATACGTATACACTGTATAATGAAGTGTGCAGTGAGAGCAGCCTGAGGGACTGTGTTAACAGATCATTAACTTTTAGATGTGCATGTTTTTAGAGGAGTGACTGATATATCTGCTCGTTAATTAGTGACAGAGTACGAATAAATATAAACATCAAGAATTTCACAAAATGTGTAACTATTCTTGACCTAAAATTCTATTAATACATATGGTAATGCTACTATTTTATGTGTAATTTCTTAATAAATTTGATAAATGGACTTTTAGTTGCACAAAATATTAAAAGTGAAGGCAAATCAATGCTATATTATAAATATACCGTAATAAAATAATAAAAATTTAACTATCAATATATAGTAGTATACTGATAAATCTTTAAAAACGGTAAAAGGTTCAATCACAGCCATTAAGGTTCCTCTAACAGATATCATTAACTATGACTAAACATCCATTTAAGCTGCTCTACTGCTTTTCTAAAAATGCTTCATAAAGATTTATATTTTAAAAGAATCATTATCTCAAAAAAGTTACATACCAAATTTGATGAAGTGAAATTTTTTAATAAAAATAAATACCGTATATACTCGAGGTTCTAAGGTCAGTTTTTTGAAAAAAAAAAAAAAAGGGCAAGGGGGTTAACTTGTTCATGGGTAATATTTCTGAAAGGTTGAAATCCTTAATAAATGTCTTGAACTATGCACAAGTTTTATTACATTCTGTTGATATCAACCTACCTGTTCCCCAACAATTGCCACTCATGTATCTGTCCAAACTTTGCAGCTTGTTCTACTCATTTACAACTATTGCCAAATGAATGCTTTTCTATATCCATTGTAAATCTGAATTTATACAATTTGAATCCACTGCTTCAAGTTCGATCTTATATGGGAGTGAATGCTGCAGCTAAGAGGAGGCTGAAGGCAGTGGAGATGTGGTGGTTAAGGGCAAATTTTTTTTTTTAACATGTCGGCCATTTCCCACAGAGGCAGGGTGACCCAAAAAGAAAGAAAAACCAAAAAAGAAAAAAAAAACTTTCATCATCATTCAGCACTTTCACCATCATTCATACATAATCTCTGTCTTCGCAGAGGTGCTCAGATACAACAGTTTAGATGTCCCTCCAAATTGCCAGTATCCCAAACCCCTCCTTTAATGTGCAGGCATTGTACTTCCTATTTCCAGGACTCAAGTCCGGCTAACCGGTTTCCCTGAATCCCTTCACAAAATATTACCCTGCTCACACTTCAACAGCTTGTTAGGTCCCAAAAACCATTCGTCTCCATTCACTCCTATCTAACACGTTCACGCACACTTGCTGGAAGTCCAAGTCTCTCGCTCACAAAACCTCCTTTACCCCCTCCCTCCAACCTTTTCAGGGACGACCTCTACCCCACCTCTTCCTTCCCTACAGATTGATATGCTCTACAAGTCATTCTACTTTGTTCCATTCTCTCTAAATGACCAAACCACCTCAACAGCCCCTCTTCAGCCTTCTGACTAATACTTTTAGTAACTCTACACCTCCTCCTAATTTCCACACTATGAATTCTCTGCATAATAATAAAGCCAGCAACAAACAACAAAATACCTTTCATCCGTGGACTGCTTGCAGAGGCAAAGGCAATGTTCGCAGCTTTCACTGAGACCCACATAAAGGATCACTTGGACAACGAAATATGGATCCCAGGTTACAACCTATACAGATGTGACAGAGTGAACAGGCAAAAGGGGGGGGTTGGCCTGTACATTGCAGAGTCACTTGTTTGCACAGAACTGCTAAATGCCTCAAATGATGTAGTGGAAGTTTTAGCAGTAAAGGTCGAGAACCAAAACCTAGTCATTGTGATAGTCTACAAGCCTCCAGATGCAACATCCCAGCAATTCCAGGAACAGCTGTTAAAAATTGACCACTGTCTGGAAAACCTTCCAGCTCCTGCACCCAACATCTTGCTCCTGGGGGATTTCAACTTAAGCACCTAAAATGGAGGAATATAGCAAATAATATTGTTGCAGTAATAACACCAGGAGGGCAGCTCTGATGAAAACTCACACTCACGCGAGCTTTTAAATCTCTGCACAAAATTCAATTTAAACCAACAAATAATAGAGCCTACTAGACTGGAGAATACACTAGACCTCATCTTCACTAACAATGATGATCTGATAAGAAATATCACCATATCAAAAACAATATACTCAGATCACAACATAATTGAGGTTCAGTCATGTATGCGCGGAGCCCCAGACCGACATAATGAGATTAGTCACGAGGGAGCATTCACCAAATTCAACTTCAATAACAAAAAACATAAAGTGGGACCAAGTAAACCAAGTCCTAACCGATATAAGCTGGGAAGATATACTAAGCAACACAGACCCCAACTTATGCCTAGAACAGATTAACTCGGTAGCACTCGATGTATGCACAAGGCTTATTCCTCTAAGAAAAAGGAGGAGTAGAAGTAAAACAGAAAGAGACAGGCGCTCCCTTTACAGGCGACGGAAAAGAATAACAGAGCGGCTAAAAGAGTCAATATATCTGAAATGCGTAGGGAGACACTGGTCAGAGAAATAGCAAGCATCGAACTTAAGCTAAAAGAATCCTTTAGGAGTCAGGAATCGCGGGAAGAACTAAAAGCCATAAATGAAATCGAAAGAAACCCAAAGTATTTCTTCTCCTATGCCAAATCAAAATCGAGAACAACGTCCAGTATTGGGCCCCTACTTAAACAAGATGGGTCCTACACAGATGACAACAAGGAAATGAGTGAGCTACTCAAGTCCCAATATGACTCAGTTTTTAGCAAGCCGCTAACCAGACTGAGAGTCGAAGATCAAAATGAATTTTTTATGAGAGAGCCACAAAATTTGATTAACACAAGCCTATCCGATGTTATCCTGACGCCAAATGACTTCGAACAGGCGATAAATGACATGCCCATGCACTCTGCCCCAGGGCCAGACTCATGGAACTCTGTGTTCATCAAGAACTGCAAGAAGCCCCTATCACGAGCCTTTTCCATCCTATGGAGAGGGAGCATGGACACGGGGGTCGTCCCACAGTTACTAAAAACAACAGACATAGCCCCACTCCACAAAGGGGGCAGTAAAGCAACAGCAAAGAACTACAGACCAATAGCACTAACATCCCATATCATAAAAATCTTTGAAAGGGTCCTAAGAAGCAAGATCACCACGCATCTAGAAACCCATCAGTTACACAACCCAGGGCAACATGGGTTTAGAACAGGTCGCTCCTGTCTGTCTCAACTATTGGACCACTACGACAAGGTCCTAAATGCACTAGAAGACAAAAAGAATGCAGATGTAATATATACAGACTTTGCAAAGCCTTCGACAAGTGTGACCATGGCGTAATAGCGCACAAAATGCGTGCTAAAGGAATAACAGGAAAAGTCGGTCGATGGATCTATAATTTCCTCACTAACAGAACACAGAGAGTAGTCGTCAACAGAGTAAAGTCCGAGGCAGCTACGGTGAAAAGCTCTGTTCCACAAGGCACAGTACTCGCTCCCATCTTGTTCCTCATCCTCATATCCGACATAGACAAGGATGTCAGCCACAGCACCGTGTCTTCCTTTGCAGATGACACCCGAATCTGCATGACAGTGTCTTCCATTGCAGACACTGCAAAGCTCCAGGCAGACATCAACCAAATCTTTCAGTGGGCTGCAGAAAACAATATGAAGTTCAACGATGAGAAATTTCAATTACTCAGATATGGTAAACATGAGGAAATTAAATCTTCATCAGAGTACAAAACAAATTCTGGCCACAAAATAGAGCGAAACACCAATGTCAAAGACCTGGGAGTGATCATGTCGGAGGATCTCACCTTCAAGGACCATAACACTGTATCAATCGCATCTGCTAGAAAAATGACAGGATGGATAATGAGAACCTTCAAAACTAGGGAGGCCAAGCCCATGATGACACTCTTCAGGTCACTTGTTCTATCTAGGCTGGAATATTGCTGCACACTAACAGCACCTTTCAAGGCAGGTGAAATTGCCGACCTAGAAAATGTACAGAGAACTTTCACGGCGCGCATAACGGAGATAAAACACCTCAATTATTGGGAGCGCTTGAGGTTCCTAAACCTGTATTCCCTGGAACGCAGGAGGGAGAGATACATGATTATATACACCTGGAAAATCCTAGAGGGACTAGTACCGAACTTGCACACGAAAATCACCCACTACGAAAGCAAAAGACTTGGCAGACGATGCACCATCCCCCCAATGAAAAGCAGGGGTGTCACTAGCACGTTAAGAGACCATACAATAAGTGTCAGGGGCCCGAGACTGTTCAACTGCCTCCCAGCACACATAAGGGGGATTACCAACAGACCCCTGGCAGTCTTCAAGCTGGCACTGGACAAGCACCTAAAGTCAGTTCCGGATCAGCCGGGCTGTGGCTCGTATGTTGGTTTGCGTGCAGCCAGCAGCAACAGCCTGGCTGATCAGGCTCTGATCCACCAGGAGGCCTGGTCTCAGACCGGGCCGCAGGGGCGTTGACCCCCGGAACTCTCTCCAGGTAAACTCCAGGTAAACACCACACATTGCCCTTAGGATATCTCCACTGCCTCCTCGCTGCAGCATTTACAACCCATGCTTCACACCCATATAAGAGTGTTGGTACCACTATACTATCATGCATTCCTTCTTTGCCTCCATGGATAACGTTTTTTATCTCCACAGATACCTCAACGCACCACTCACCTATTTTCTTTCATCAATTCTATGGTTAACTTCATCCTTCATCAACCCATCCACTGG